AAAAAAAAAAAAAAAAGTTGGCGGATCTTTTATTATTTTTGAGTAGTAGTCAGCAAACTACAGTCTGTGGGTCAAATTCAGTTGCACCCATTCTTTTATGTATTCTCTATGGATACTTTTAAAGGACAGTGGCAGCATTGAGGTGGGATGAAGAAAGGATATTTCTTTCTTTCAGTCAGCTCCTTGGGATATATTCTCTGTTTGTAGCTCCTGTCAGACAGACTCCACTGTGACTCTCACTCCTGAAGAAATGTATTTTACAATTATGTCTTCATAGATCTTTTACAATTACATCTTCCTGTGTCCTGAAGTCACAGATTGTTGGTGCCACTGCCTGCTCTGTGTTATTCTTGTGACATTTCAACAATCCCTGTTTTGATTTATTCAACTTTTTCATTGACTATTTAACTTATTCCTTGGTTTTCTCCTTTTTGGATTAGAATGGTTTCTATTTTTAAGTGAGTCATAAGATCAATATGATATAGTTGTAGTAGAGATAAGAAGTGAGTTAATAGAAGGAGTTGTAATTCATTAAAATGAATAATAGTTTAAAATCATCTTTGTAATGATGAAAACAAAAGAAGAATCAAGTTATTCTCATCCAACTGTGTTTGTATAATTACTCTTTTCTGTAAGTAGAAGATTAACTCACAAGTCTCACAGAGAACTCTTCTAACTTTCCAAATGTCTGATTAGTTTACTAATTCATATTTCTTCTCTCATTTTTCTCCTTTCACTACAACATAAATACTTGACTGATTAGAGAAATCTTTAGTCCTTAGTGAACATCCTGCAGAGGGAATGCCCATCACTTTGTTCCCTGTCCCCATGAGGGAATTTCTCTGAGGACCCATTCCACGTGTATTTGTTGATCCAATCAATGAAAAATATGGTCACCGAAAAGTAAAAATACGACATAAACTACAATTTTTACTACTATTTGTTCATATTAGCAAATTGGAATCATGATCTAGACAACGAGGAATTGCAATCTCTATTCTTCTTGTCAAGCAAAGGTTTGTTATCTTTTCTTTCATATTTTTGTTTCTTCATGAATATATTTGACTTCACATATAGTATACAATTTACTAAGCTGAAAACTAGCATTCATTATTGATGATATGTTTTGTTTACTTATCATTGACTCTTCATAATCTGCTTTATATTGTATTAGTTATATTTCTGCTTTTTTAAAAATTTGTCCTTTTCAAACCAGAATCTGGTTTATGTAAAATATGTAGTTTTATAATTGATAGATTGTTCCAGAGGATCTTTTGATTACTGTGCCTTCTAGAATCAGTCAACATTTATGTTACACTTTATTTTTTCAAGAGTAAAACTTTTAACTTTACCAATTAATTTTAATATACTTCCATAGGTTTAAACTGCATTAAAATAACATAAAATATTGATGAAACCATAACAACAACAACAATAATAAAAGTTATGATTAGATTTCCCATAGCATGGGAATTGTTGACTTTTTAATATCGTTTGTCCCTTTTTTTTTTTTTTTTCTAATCATTAATTGGAATAATATTGTATAGTAAAACAATATGCTGCTCAATTTTACAATCTAAACAAGTCTCTTTAATCTGCTTTTCTCTCAGATTTATCATTCATAAAATTAGATTTAAAAAACTACTTCCTCTCTCCATATATCTACATTTTTAAGAACATTTTATAGTCACAGTAACATAAACTAAATACAATTCAAACTTGTTTAAGTACATATTTGTCACTTTTTAAAAAATTTCTATCTTTGAGTTTTCTTGTGTTCCTTCTGTTAGTCATTTGCATAGATCTTTGCATTTGTATGTTGGTTTGCCTATATCTGAAAGGATAGCAGCCTCTCTAACCAAGGTGTTAGAATCCTCTATTTGGATTCCAATCTTCAAAATCTAAAGGAAAAAATAGAGAGAGAGAGAGAGAGAGAGAAAGGATATTGGAAGTATTTTTGTTCACTCTAGTGCTCTCTAGTGGAAATACCACAGGTGGATGGTTTTAACAAACAGGAGTTTATTTTCTTACAGTTTTAGAGGCTAGAAGTCCAAGTTCAAAGTGCCAAGCTCTAGGGGCTGGGTGAAAGCCCCTCGACCTCGAGCTTTAGCTCTGCCTCTTGATTCCGGCCCACTGCAGCTAGAGGCATCTCTCTTCACCCAGGCAGCTACTGGCTGCTCAGGCTAACAAGCCCAGGGTCAACAAATAAAATGGCACAGTCCCAATATTACCAAACAACATGCCATGCCACTAGTTCAAGACCAGAGAGAGTCCCAAGATCAACAGGAAACATGGTAGCCTGCTAAATGAAGACTCTGCTACATGAAGAGCCTAAGCATGCTGAAAAGTTGCAGAGACCCTTCTCAAAACTTCTCCTTATATATTGGAAACAGACTACTTCCCTAAGGCAGCTACTCAGCTACTGCAGTAGATTCTATTCCACCATGGAGTTGATTACCAGTCTCATCATGGAGAATAACCATATCCAGTTGCCCAGCCCCTCAAACCCAAGCCCAGCCAAGTTGTCATATCACCTTAACTACCACAGGAAGTAAAGAAAGAAAAAGGAAAAAAGAGAAAGGGAAGGAGGAAGGGAGGAAGGATATGAGAAAAGCAGATAAAAATTGTCTGCTTTCCTCATATACAGTGAAGATAAACAAAAATCAATTCTGCACATGAACTGCACCACTAAGAAGACATATTATCGCAGGGACAAAGATAATAGAAAACAAAGAAATTAGGTTAATGTGGAAAGGGGAAACACTTTTATTATTTGGATGAATTTTCATGATGTCTGGCATCTTCCTTCTGTGAAAAGGAAGACAGATACAATGGTACGTTATTTTCTCATGTTGTTTTTAGGTGCTGTTGGGCTGGTTCTAACTCACCGTGACCCGATGTACAATGGAAGGAGATACTGCCCGGTCCTGCCATCCTGTCAATCCCTGCTGTGCTTGAGCCCATCGTTGCAGCCACCGTGTCAATCTATGCATTGAGGGTCTCACCTTTTTTGCTGATCCTCTATTTTGCCAAGCATGATATCCTTCTCTAGGGAATGGTCTCTTCTAACATCATGACCAAAGTATGTGTGACGAAGTCTAGCTGTTTTCACGTTCAAGGGGCATCCCTGCTGCACTCATCCAAGATAGATTTGTTCATTCTTCTGGCAGTCCACGGTATTTCCTGTCTTCTGCACCAACATCACAATTCAAAGGCATCAATTCTCTTCAGTCTTCCTTATGCATTGAATACAAACTGAAAATGAATCAAGAATTCAAAAAAATTTTGGTTCCAGATATTTTCCAAGAATCTCCAATTTTCCTCAGCACACCAAGGGAACTAATTAATACACATCATGTGTAAATAAATTTATCTAAAAGATGAATATATAAAATTGAACTGTTCACTAGGAAAATGTGTTTATATAGCAACCCAGTTTTAGCATCCATTGCTGTTGTGGAAATTATTGAGAGGAAAATGATGGAGCAAAAATGATTTCATGCCAGTTCACCGGTTAATTGGTGTGATGGTTAAGGCATTTGACTGCAGACCAAGAGGTCAGCAGTTCAAAACTACCAGACGCTCCATGGGAGAAAGATGAGGCAATTTGCTTCTGTAAAGATTTATAACCTTGGAAATATTATGGGGCAGTTCTACTCTGTCCTGTAGGGTTGCTCTTAGTCAAAGTCCACTTGATAGAAGTGGATTAGTTCATTAGCTCAGTTATTTTTACTAAAACAAGTACACTCACTCCTCTCTTATCAACGTGGTTAGATTCCGGAGACCAGGGCATTATGTGAAAATGAGTGTTAAGCAAAAATATAGGATGATCACATCAGATCACAAAATGGAGGATGACTATATGATTACAAAACTGACAAATAAATCATTCCATAACTGCCAGTCCAATGAGAATCATGGTCAGCTAGACTGACATCACAGCAAGTGTTATTCTCATCTTGCACTTTGGCATTTGCTGTTGTGAGATGTACATTGTTAATGAGAAAATAGCTAAATAGTAGATTTTTTTATTATTGTCATGAATGCAAAATATCAGATAATGAGAGTAAATAGGTGAGGAGTAGGTGTATTCTGATTACATGTTTCTTTGTATCCCCACAGTTGCATTTAAGGAGCCTTGGTGGTACAATGGTTCAGCACTAGGCTGCAAATATAAAGGCTGGTGTTTCTAGTCCCCTCAGCTTGCTCCACCAGAGAAAGTGTTGGTGATCTGCTCCTATAAATATTCTGCACATAGGGTTTCTATGAGTTGAACATCAAGTTGATGGCATCTAACTACAGCAACAGTTGCATTTACACGTCAGCTATGAAGAGTGAATTGTATCAGAATTACTCAGAGGTGATTGAGTTTATTCTTCTGGGATTTAAAACCGATTTAGAGATACAGATCATTTTATTCCTACTGTTTTTGCTAATCTACATAGCCATTTTGGTGGGAAATATGAGCATGATACTTGTCATTAAAGTGGATTCCAGACTTCACACCCCTATGTATTTCTTTCTCAGAAATTTGTCTTATTTAGACCTGTGCTACTCCACAGTCATTGCTCCCAAAACCCTAGCCAACTTCTTATCTAATGAAAAGAAAATTTCTTACAATGGCTGTGCAGCCCAGTTTTTCTTCTTTGTCCTCTTTGTCACGACAGAGTGCTTCATTCTGGCTGTGATGGCATTTGATCGATTCTCAGCCATTTGTTCTCCTCTCCTTTACCCTGTGCACATGTCCCAGAAGGTCTGTGTTCAGTTGGTTACTGGCTCCTATATCTGTGGAACCATTAATGCTGTAGTTCAAACAATTTTCACCTTCTGTTTGCATTTCTGTAAAGAAAACAGACTGGATCACTTTTTCTGTGATGCCCCAGTCCTGATTGAGATCTCGTGTGATGACACCTTTGTGAATGAGATTGTGATGTGTGTTTTCTCTGCTTTTATCATCATTGCCACGACAACGGCTATCCTGATATCTTATGCTTATATCCTTTCCACTGTCCTGAAGATCCCCTCGACTCAGGGCAGGAGTAAGACCTTCTCCACCTGTGGCTCCCATGTAGCAGTGGTGAGTTTATTCTATGGGACTATATTCTTCATATATGCTCAGCCTGGGGGCCTTTCCTCACCCCAGCAAAACAAGATTGTTGCTGTGTTCTACACACTTATAATACCAATGCTCAACCCTCTAATATATAGTCTGAGAAACAGAGATGTGAAAGATGCTGTGAAAAGGATGTTATGTGGGAAATGGTCCTCATATTGATGTTTTTCAAACCATCAGTAAGTGGACAAAAGAGTTCTAATTATCTTTGTTCTTATTAAATATTATGTCAAACATATGTGTGTATATGGCAAAAACTTGTTTTCTATGGTTTACAAGAGCTCCCAAACCACATATATATGTATGCATGTGTATATGTATGTGTGTATATATATATACACACATACATATATATATTTCAAATATATATATATATATATATATGTATTTCAAAATTGAGATCACACTTTAGCAATCTTTTTGCATTCTGCTCTTTTAACTTATTTTTTTTAGAGAAAACACATTTTCCAATGTCATTAAATATTCTATAAATGAAAGGATAGTAGTGATTTGATAATATTATAGAATATCATACACCATTATTTGTTTCAACAGCACTTCTCACTACACCTTTTCCTGCATTGATTGTGAGATATAAATTAATTCAGTAAACAGCACAGTGCATGAGAGTGAACAGGTAAGGGGAACTAAACCAACCAGATTCACTGCCTTAGAGTCAGATCCGACTCATAGCGACCCATTCTTGGGTTTCCGAGTCAGTGTACTCCCGTAGTGATACTGTCTCGGAAACCCAAGGAAGGGTTGCTATGAGTCGGGTCCAACTCGGCGGCACATAACAACAACAATAACATCACCACGGAAGTAGATTGCCCCAACTTCCTTCTGAGGAGTGGCTAATCAGCTTTCTGGTTAGCTGTCAATTGCCTTAGGCACTATGCTATAAATTGGGATACATTAGCAACTTCATTCCAATATGAAGAATCAGCTAGCTTATGTACATCTGACTCCTTTCAGCTTCATTTGAAACTCTTTCAATCTCTCTTTTATTTCGTTTCTCCCCAAAATTGAAAAGCTAAACTACTTTTCATCTCATTTTACTTTTCCAGTTTAATGAATAAGCTATCAGTTCTTGAAGCAAGGTGGAGATATTGAGCCTGTCTTGGAATGATGACAAAATCGACTTTTTTCTTTGTCATCTTTTGTGCAAATATTCTGTTCTGACTCTATTTTCTTTAAAAAATTTAATTAATTTTTGGTATGGATCAGTATAGCATATGCATGTAATTTTATTTGTCTTTTCTCTTTCGAATTTCTAACATACTTAACCACTCAAAATGAGATAAATTTATTTCTAAATGCTAATATCTTTATATTTTATGTAAAAATCATAATTAATATGCAATGTGTTTTAACACATGGTGTGGACCAGTGTCCTAACTCAAGTTCTTTCTCATCAATTAGCCAAATTTTGTAATATCATTTTAAAAATTATATGGAATTGAGGAAACTTTTTGTCTCACTTCCTCTGTTTTCCTTTTGCTTCTTTCAAAGACATATGAATACTAAACAAGAATTGAGGACCTAACTGTGCCACATATATAGTGGGAGTCAAACACCTGTTTTAAAAATATAAATATGGACTTTGGTTACTGGTCTGTACAGATGATCACTATGAGTCTGAATCAACTTGAGGACACCTAACAACAATGTAGTTTTTATGCACAATTTATGTTGCCTTTAATTTACAAACGGTTCACATTTTCATTGAGTGGAGTGAGAAAAATTGTTCTGATGTAAGTAACATAAAAATGTGTGACACCTACATCTGTAAGAGAGTATAATTATTTTGTTACAGTCTACTTCCAAAGGAGCTCTGGTGGCCTAGTGCCTAAGGTATTAGACTGGTAACCAGAAAGCTGGCAGTTCAAAACCACCAGCCACTCCTCCAAAGGAAGGTTGGGAAATCTACTTGTGTAGTTGATACTGCCTCGGCAGCCCAAGGAGGGGTCTCTATGAGTCAGGTCCGACTCGACGGCACATAACAACAACAACATATATTGACCAGGAAATGTTTAAAAAATATGTATATACATATATATGGGTGTGTGTGTATATATATATATACACACACACACATGCACACATGCACACACACACACATATGGGAGCTCTGGTGGTGTAGTGCCTATGGATTTGACTGCTAACCAGAAGGCTGGCAGTTCAAACAACCAGCCACTCCTTGGGAGGAAGGTTGGGCAATCTACTTCCCTAGTGATACTGCCTCGGCAACCCAAGGATGGGTCTCTATGAGTGGGATCCGATTTGATGGCAGTGTTTTTTTTTCCCTTACTTCCGTGCCTGCATCCCCTAATTTCTTGCTTAATTTTTCTTCTTATAATTTATAACATTAAAGTCCATGCTTTGTGCTGTGAAATTCTGTGCGTTTTGACAATGGCATGGTGCCATATATTCCACCACTATGATACTTCATAGAATAGTTCTACTAAACTAAAAAGTCCCTTGAGTTTCAAATGCTTAACCCTCCTAACCTTCTGCATTAACCCCTGACAATCACAGATATTTTATTGCCTTTACTGTTTTACTTTTTCCAGAATGTCTTATAGTTGAAATCATACCATTTTTAACCTTTTAATACTGTTCAATAGCAATATACATTGAAGATTCATCCATGCCTTCATTTTTAAAAAATTGTGTTGGAAATATACACATGAAAACTTACACATTTAAAATTGAATGATATTGATTACATTTTTCTTGTTGTGCCTATTTCCACTGTCTTTTCCCAAAATATTCAAATATTGTTACCATAAACTCAGTGTCCCTTAACAAAAGCTCCCTGTTTTCCCGTCTTTCCAAAGCCTGGTAGCCATTAATAAATTTTGGTTTGTATATATTTTCTTCTTACATACAAGTGAGATCATACAGTATATAACCTTTTGCCTTTGATTCAGACTCCACACATTGTTTCATTCAGTGTAATACTTGCTAGGCTTATCCATGTTGTGGCATAAGACAGAGCTTTATTCCTCTTTATGTTGTTGTTGTTAAGTGCCGTCGAGTCGTTTCCGACTCATAGCGACCCCATGCACAGCAGAACGAAAAACTGCCCGATCCCGCGCCCGCCCCACAATCCCTGCTATGCTTGAGCCCATCATTGCAGCTACCGTGTCAAT